CATTGGCTGGCTGGGGTTGTAGTGGGGGTGGGGGAATCAGCCAGCTCTCTTCCTCCAAACCTTCCCACCTTCACCCCCCCATCATCACAGGTAGTTCAAAGCAATCCTCTTCATTCAAAAGTTGTCAGGAATGAGTGACAGATCGTCTTCTTAAATATTTTGAATACACACTCAGTTCCAGTTCAGCCTCTCCTAGGTCCTTCTGGCTCTGAAGCCAATTATAAGGTGTTTCATTTTTTTTTTATTATCATCATATAGTTCTCAACCTGAGTCATCAGGACTGGAACTGGGTTCTGAAGACCATGTGACCAAGTACTGAGGTCTCACTGGTCAGTACACTCATTGCCAGTAGTAATGATGGATTTCATGGATTCATCTAATCTCTCCCTGTTTGATCAGAACTATGAAGTCCATGATCATGGAACAGAATGAAGTCAGCTGACCTCCAAGGAAATCCAAGGCCTTGGCCTTGCTATCCTAAATGACTGGGTTAAATACAGATTCCCAAAATGGCACATTGACATTGCCACATGGTAACTTCATATTCTACCTGTTAATTCCATTATTTGAGGAAACATATATTTTCCCATCTTTTAGAGATTTTTATGGGTTTAGCTTAAGAAAAATATAATTTTTGGCCTGCCTACTTAATGAGTAATGGTCACACCCCTTTGCTGAGTAATCCAGCATTCAGCAGTGTTTCCAAGATATATAATTTGTTTGATAATGAGCCTATCACCAATGACGCAAACCCTTACACACAATAGCAGATGGTCTTCAAGTACTGGTATAGACAAGATCATCACTCATCACTTGATGCCTTTCCTAACTCAGCCAGACTGGTCCTTAGGCAATAGCTAACAAAGTCTGCCACTAAATCCATATTCACAGTCTTAATTAGCTTTAGTACAAACTTACAGAGATTATGCTCTGCTAGTATAGATTTCAGGACTCCAGAGACACTGCCATGCCATGATGAGGCATGAGGGTAGGATTTTCTTTGGTGGAAGTTGTAGAAAACATTTATGATTAAATTAAAATGCTATCTAGCCTATAATTACAAGAGATTGTCTAAGATTATACAAGTCATGGAGTGGATATGATATGTGACGGTGGCAGAAGTTCCCATGCCAACAGAATCATAAATTGCTTAGTGTTTATGCAATTGAAGAGAGAAATATGTTACAGAGAAGCTTTGATTTTATTTAATAATGGTTTATGTTAAGTTGATATATTCAGAGATCATTTTAAAAATGGAGAGAAAACTATAGATAGGACCATGTCTGTACCTCTCCCGCCTTCAATGAAAATGCAGGAAAGGGATTGAATATGCTGAGTCAGAACTCTCAAAGGACAGGGATTTCATCTTGATTACAAAGCAGAAAAGACGGATTTGACTAAGCCCTGTAATTCCTGACCTTTCTCTACTAACAATAAACCAAGTCAATAACAGTACATATGTTGTGGCCAAAAGAAGTAAATGATAGGGGTAAATGATGGACTTGGAGCCAAGCAGAGGTCCTTTGAACCCTGACATTAACTTCCTGTGTGGCCCTGGGCTAAATTACTTCACCATACTGGGCTTCAGCTTCCTCATTCATAAAATAAAAAAAAAAAGTTGTACTAGATAAGTTCTAAGGTCGCATCCGATTGTAAGTTCTATTATTCCATGTATTTGCAACTGGTAATGTAACAGATTTGTCATTTACTTAAATTTTTGTAAGGCTATTTGCTTTAACTTTTTTTTTTGCTTTTTTGGTGAGGCAATCAGGGTTAAGTGACTCGCTTTTTTTTTTTGCTTTAATTTCTTTTTGATGTTTGAAATGACACAAGGAAAACTTAAAATAATGTGGACAACCAAAGTATCAACTCAGATTGTTGTTATTAGGAATGAGCCAATGTTTTTACACTGGAAAAACACAATTCCTATGAAAAGTGAATTTATGGCTAATAAGAATTATTATTGTTGAATTGTTATTAAATTAAGAGGAAATTATATATTTCAAATGGGTAAGACTGCTGAGTCCTGAGCCTAGTGTTTCATATTTTCTTCAATGATCAGACTGAAGAAATAGAGTATCAATAAATATAGGATGGACAAATAAATGAAAAGATCACTAAAGGGAAGTTGAATTCTAGTGGAGACTTTGGAATATAGATAACTAAGCATAGTACCTCCTTCATAAAGGCAGGGAGGTGGAGGCTACAATGAGGTATATGTTGCAGCATAGTCACTGCAGTGAGTTTTAAAAGAAAATTCAATATGTAGGGGAGGGGTATTTGGGAAATGACTTTTGTAAAGACAAAATGCATTAATAAAACATATTTTTAAAAAATAAATCAAGGGTGGTCAATACATTTGAAGGTAAGATGTACTTCTAAAGTGTTGTTTAAAAGTTGGCTAAATTATCAGGAAGCAATGGAAAGAATAAACTAGAGAATAACTGGTCATATAAGACTGGCAAGGATCCAAGAGTCATGGTGGTCAACAAACTGAACCCAAGTCAGTAGGATACTGATAGTAAGAATAATAATTAGCCAAGGAAAGCTATGGAATATTTTTCAGTTATCTTTGAAAATTGGATAGACTTACGGTTTGAGAAAAGCCCCGAATCTGGGTACAATGGAGAAGGAATTGTAGAGTTAATTCCCATTTGGTTCACTTTGCTGCTGTGTGACTCTAGGGCAAGTTACTTAGTGTCTCTGAGCCTTTGTTTCCTCATCTGTAAATTGGGATTATAATAGTACCACCCCACAAGGTTACTGCGAGAATCAAGTAAGATAACAAATATGTAAAAAAAAAAAAGACTTTGCAAATGTTAAAACTGTATAAATATTAGCTATTATTATCATGTAGCTAGATGACACAGTATGGGATGCTGGGCCTACAGTCAGGAAGACTCATCTTTCCAAGTTCAACTCTGGCTTCAGACACTTACTAGCTGTGTGACCCTGGAAAAGTCACTTAACCCTGTTTGCCTCAGTTTCCTCATCTGTAAAATGAGCTGGAGAAGGAAACAGCAAACCACTCCAGTATATTTGCCAAGAAAACTCCAAATGGGGTCACAAAGAGTCAGAGGTGACTGAAAAACAACTGAACAAAAAAATTATTATCATCACTCTTGTTATTGTTATCTGTCTAAATAGTAGCCTGCCCTGCCATTCTTCTCACCTCTCTTCAATATACCTGACTCTTGATGATGTTTTCTCAGTTCTCATCCTCCATGGCTTTTTTGCAGTTTTTTCCCATCTACTCTTGTTGGCCATGCACTGTTCCTGACACTCTCTCCTCTACTGGCTTTCATTAAGATACCACTCTTTCCTGTTTATCCTACTCTCTACATTACCATATCTTTTTGCTGTTCTTTTCCAGATAATCATTTACCTTTTGCCTCATAAGGATGTCCCAAGACTCTTAGATTCTCTTTTATTTTCTCTGATCTCTCCCTTAGTGACCTCATCTGCTTTAATGGGTTCAATTTTTATTTCTACATAAATGATTCCCAAATCTATGTATGAAGACTTAATCTCTCTCCACAATGTCATTCTCACATCTCTACCCACCTGCTAGCTATCTCCACTTAGGACCAGTCCAAAGTCAAAGGCAACACATCTCAGACTAAACAGATCATCATCTTTCCCTCTAAATGAGCACCTCTTCCAAACTTTCCCACTTCTGTTAAGAGTGCCACCATCCTCCCAGTCACCCAGGTTTGACATTTGTCTCATATTAAACTCTTTCCTCTTCTTTGCATGGACAAGAAACCATTCTGTGGAAGTTTTAACCCTTTCTTCTTGGAAGCTTCTACCTTGGGGCCTGCTATTCTGATTGGTGACCACATTCTCCCAGCCATCTTTTTTACAACTTCACCTTACCAACAGGGCACCCACTCCATCCATTCCATAGCCCCTCTCTAGTTCTAGAAGCACAATTAAATAAACTCTTCCATTGTTCTTGGAAGGAGTGTGTCAATCTATTTCCAGGTAGATTCACTCACCACTCCTGTAAATTTCCAAACCATAAGGTGTAACTCCCTGCTTATTATTGTGCTATGTGTATAATCTTGTCCCATTACACCTTGAATTTAGGGCCACCTGTGTTTTCATATTTGTCTCTCTCAAGCTTAGCAGTGCTTGACATATACTAAGAGTTTAATAAATGCTTTCTCATTCATTTGTTCATTCATTCCCTTTCTGCTTTCACAACATCTCTCACAGCCATCCCTTTCTCTTCATACATACTGCTAGCAGTCTAGTTCAGGACCTCATAAGCACTCTGTTAGGATACAATGGTAACCTTATAATTATTCTTATAATTAGTCTCTCTTCTCACAAAACCATTAGCTACTTAGCTGTCAAAATGAACTTTCTAGTGTATAGGTCTGATCATGTCAGTTCTGAGCCTCAAAACCTTCAGTGGCACCCTTTAGCCTCTAGGATAAAACATGTGCTCCTTAGCCCTATACAGTCTGGCTCCAAACTGGCTTTGCAGTCTTACTCCACATTATTCCCTACTCTGCATTCTACATTCCAGTCGAACCAGCCTGCAGTATGCTCTTTCTGAGCTTTTTGCATTCTTACAGGATGTCTACTGTGCCTACAATGCACCCCCTTCTCATCTCCACCTTTCAGAATCATTATCTTCCTTTGCAAGTGAGCTCAGGTAGTACCTCTTTCATATAGCTATGTCTTAGTGTTTTCTCTCTGCTTAAATATTTCTAGTACCCTTCATCTGATCTTTCCTTTCGCTGCTTAACTCCCTACCTCTTATTATATTCATTTATGTATATATTACATCTTCCCAATAAAATACAAGCTCCTTTAGGTCAAGGACTGATGTTTTTTTCTTCCTTTTTATCCCCGGGGCCTAACGCAATGCTTTTCCAATATAGTAAATTTATGTATACACACACACACACACACACACACATATACAGAGAGAGAAAGAGACAGAAAGACAGATTGAGAGTATATTTATTAAGCATTAACTATGTGCCAGTCATTGTGCTAAGTCCTGGGGATACAAACACAAGCAAGAAAGATAGTTCCTGTCTTCAAAATGCTTAACTTCTAACAGAAGAAGACAACACGTAAAGGGGAACTGGAAAGAGAGGGTACAAAATTTTGGAAATGGTAGCTGGGAAATGCCAAGAGAACCTAGTTTGGGGCAAGATAAGGTTCACCTATCAGAGCCTTCAGTCTCAGAGGCAGAACCCAAGGTTCCAGTAGGGAGAGAAGAGAAGAGCTGAGGACGATGATATAAAAGGCACTTAATTATTTTTTTTTGTATTGAAGTGGTGTGGATGTGGAAAGGTGACTAAGACATCAAGTGCTTTCTAGCTCCAAAATACAATGTTTTTAAACAGTAAGATTACTGACTATTAGAGACTTCAGAAAAAGAAAAAGGGAAAGAAGAGATTTCAAGAGAGGAAAGAATATATGGCCTTTGTGAAGAACATGGGAATGGCTAGTTTGGGGGATTCATTTATTCATTTACTCTCTGATGTCATTTGCTTGAAATTATAAAGGGGATAATCAGGGACTAATAATACAGAAATAGGTTTTTTATTAAAGCACAAAGACTACAAACTTTATTAATATAGTTGTCAATTTATATCATTCAAATAGATTAATCAATAGAAATCTGTTATATGAAGAAATATATTAATTTACTTGAACAGATCTACACATGTGAATTTTTGCATAGATTTTTAAAAGACTGACATACTAGTCTATTCAGCCAGCTATCACTCAGGAATGATCCATTCAGCTCTTAGTATTATTAACAGAATTACTCTAAGAATAATAAAAATAATAAACGAGCCTACATAACCAGAGCAGGGAAGATATTTTTCCTGAGAAATATTTACTTAATGCTCTTTCCTAGTACCTCTGTCATGAAATATGATTAAACAAATACTAATAAATAATGGAAAATTAATATTTTACCCTTTACTTTTGCCTTCAGTATAAGAATTATCTTCAGAACTATGAAAATGGTATAATGATCACACCCTAAAGTCTCCTGGTGTCTATACCATTATTTACAAATTCAGGTAGAAAAATTCTGAAAGATATCAGCTCCCTCCAACCAGTTTTGGAAGCAGGAGAGGCCTTGTTCTCTAATTTGTTTCCGTCCTTTGTCGGTGATGACCTCTCCAGTTTGTTTCACCACCACCAGCTTGGGTATGGCTGTGATATTATACCTCTTCTTCAAATCACTGGAAATGACAGAAAAATACAGGAAAATGGTTAACATTTCAAGTCAAAGAATTAGCTATTACAATGACTATATTTACTTCAATGTTTTAAGGATTAGTGTTCCCTCTCTCAACACAGACCACTACCTAAGTGCTATATCTTACTACCAAGGGTATATTTTATAGAGCTAAGCCCTATAGCTATAGAGCAGCTAAGGAAGCCTTGGAAGTAAAACCTTTGTAAACGAAGTAATGACAAAATTCATTCAGAGGCATAAAAGGTCTAGAATCTCCAGGGAAATAATGGGAGAAAGTAGAGATGAAGAAGGAACAGCACTTCCAGAATTTAAGTTATTTGAAAAAGTAGTAATTATTAAAATCTTGGATACTGTTTAAAAACAGAAAAGCAGATCAGTGAAAAAGACTGGATAATCTGATGTTCAAAAACCTAAGAACATAAATGACTCAGGAAAGAATTCTCTATTTGACCAGAACTGCTGGGAAAATTGAAAAGCAGCTTGGCGTAATCATAGAATCATAGATCTAGATTTGAAAGGGTCCTCAGAGGCCATGTAGTCGAATCCCTTTATTTCCTTAATAAGAAAGGTTACATGATTTGCCTAAAGTCATGCAGCTAAGGAAGCCTTGAAAGCAGAACCTTTGTAATGAATACACACAGTCAAGCAATAAGTTCTCTTGTTTGCTATATCTAAAAATACACTTCTCATTCTGCGTGTAGAGTCCATCACCTCTCTGTCAAGAGAAAGGTAGCAGTCTTCATCATTGGTCCTCTGGAGTTATGGCTGGTCACTGCACTGATTAGAGTTCTTAAATCTTTCAAAGTTGTTTGTCCTTACAGTGCTGTTATCCTTTGGGAGTTTATCTTAACACAGAGCAGAAGTTGTTGGTCTAAACCTAATTTCCGCCAGACCTCTTTTCAGTTTTTCCAGAAGTTTTTGTCAAAAAAACACAGTACTTACCCCAGTACCAGGAGCCTTTAGGTTCAGAGAACATGAGGCTACTATGTTAGTTTGCTTCAGTATGCTGGGTACCTAGTCTGTTCTGCTGACATAAAAATATTTTGTGGATTATTACTTTGTCATGTGGTTTAAAATTTGATACGGTTAGGCCCTCTCCTTCCAACTTTTTAACTTATTTTCCTTGAGTGCCTTGACCATATTTTGCCCTGTATTTCTAATAGGTCTAGATTATGAAAACGTTCATGGATGATTTCTCAAAATATGGTGTCTGGGCAATTTTACTGGTCATGGCTTTCAGATAATCCAATGATTCTTAGATTTTTGTCTCCTTGATTTGTTTTCCAGATCAGTTGTTTTTGATATGAAGTACTTTGTATTTTCTTCTACTGTTTAGTCTTTTGGCTTTATTTTATTATTTCTTCTTGATTCATATTTAATCCATGCTAATTTTTAGGGAGGGTGCTTATTGGGTAAAATTTTATATTTTGTGTACTAAGCTGTTAATTCTCCTAAGTTTTTCCTCGAATGCTCTCATTTCTTTTATAATTCTTTCCTCAGAAGTTTTCATTTTACGGCCAAGATGGCAGAGTAAAGGCAGGGTGCCTGAGCTCTCCCAAATTCCCCTCCAAACAACTTCAAAATAATGCCTCAAAATGAATTTTGGAATAGTAGGATCAACAAAAAGACAATGTGAAACAATTTTCCAGCTGAAGACAACTTAGAAGGTAGGCAAGAAAGTTCTGTCTCACTGGGGTGATAATGGAGTGCAGTCCAGCAGAGGCCCTACCTCAGTAAGCCAGCAACACACCTTAGGGGAGAATGAATCAGCATTGGTAGCTTCCAGAGTTGTCTACCCACAGATTTCAAGGGGGTCTGGCCATTGGTCAGGAGAAGATTAGTGGGGATCCTTTGTGGGACTGGATGTAGGACTCTGTTGCACAGCCCATACAGTTCCAGGGCATGGTCCCAGGGCAAGGAGGAGTATTAGTACACTAGAGGTTGCCACAGGGGATTGGGAATTGTGGTCACAGTGCCAGAGCAGGAAAGGATGCTTGGGGTCACTCATGGACCAGGAGAGCCAGCGACCACACACCTCGCCTTAGATAATACCGCCTTGGAAGAATGGAAAACTTACAGCTCCCCAGAATTAACTTTGAAAAAAAAAACAGTACTAAAAACCCAAGGCTTGGGACATTGCCACTTCTACCCTGGTAACAGAGTCCAGCTTTAATATAAAGTTAAAAGTCAAGAAGTAAATTGGAAAAATGTGCAAACACCAAAAAAAACCCTGACCATTAAAAAGTTACTATAGTGACAGGGAAGATTGAAAAACCAGTTCAAGGAGAAGCTAGATGACACAGTAGGTAGAGCATGAGCCCTGGAGTCAGGAGGACCTGAGTTCAAATCTGGCCTCAGATACTTACTAGCTGTGTGACCTTGGCCAAGTCACTTAACCCCAACTGCCTCAAAAAAAAAAAAACCTCAGATGAAGATAACAAAACCAAAACAGCTACATTCAAAGCCTCAAAGAAAAATATCAATTGGTCTCAGGCCCAAAAAGAATTCCTGAAACCACTCAGAAAGGATTTTTAAAATCAGAGCTGCTATAAACATTTTTGTGCTTTTAGGTCCTTTTCTCATCATGTACAAAAATATTTATATTCTTTTTGTGGTGGAAAAGAATTGGAAATTGAGGGGATGCCCATCAATTGGGGAATAGCTGAACAACTTGTGGTACCAGGGGAACCAGGGGAACATTGTACATAGTAACAGCCACGCTACATGATGACTAACTTTGATAGACTTTGCTCTTCTCAGCAATACAATGATCTAAGACAACTCCAAGGGACAGCTAGGTGGCACAGTGGGTAAAGCACTGGCCCTGAAGTCAGGAGGACCTGAGTTCAAATCCGGTCTCAGACCAAACACTTGACACTTACTAGCTGTGTGACCCTGGGCAAGTCACTTAACCCCAATTGCCTAAAAACAAACAAAACCAAAAAACTAAGACAACTCCAAAAGACTCATGAAGAAAAATGCTATCCACATCCAGAGAAAGAACTATGAAATCTAAATGCATATGGAAGCATACTATTTGCTCTCCTTTTCTTTTGTTGTTTTGTTTTATTTCTCTTTTCTTGTGGTTCCTCCCAATTGTTCTAATTCTTCTTTACAACGTGACTAATGTGAAAATGTATTTAATATGAATGTGGAGACTATATCAGATTGCACTCTGTCTTGGGGAAGGGGGAAAGGAGGGAAGGGGAGAAAATTTAAAACTCAAAATCCTATGAAAGTGAATGTTGAATACTAAAAATTAATTAATTAATTTTCTAAAAATAAAATAAGAGAGGTAGAGGGGGAAATGGGGGGGGAAATGAGAGTGATGAAAGAAAATCATGAAAAAAAAAGAATCAACATCTTAGTAAAGGAGGCACAAAAAAAATGAAGAAAATAACATCTTTAAAAAACAGACTAAGCCAAATGATAAAAGAGGCACAAAAAATTCACTGAAGAAAAGAACTGCTTAAAGAGTATAATTGACCAAGTGTAAAAAGGGTTACAAAAGCTCACTGAAGAAAATAATTCCTTAAAAATTAGAACTGGGCAAGTGGAAGCTATTGACTTTATGAGACATTAAGAAACAATAAAAACAAAATAAAAATAGGAGATAATGTGAAGTATCTCACTGGAAAAACAACTGACCTATAAATAGATTGAGGTGGGATAATTTAAGAATTATTGGACAACCTGGAAGACATGATAAAAAAAAAAGAGCCATATTTCAAGAAATTGTCCAAAAAATCCCTGCCCTGATATGCTAGAACCAGAGGGTAAAATAGAAATTAAAGAATTCACTGATCATCTCCTGAAAGAGATTCCAAAATGAAAATCCCCAGAAATATGATAGCCAAATTCCAGTGCTCACAGATCAAAGAGAGTACTTCAAGCAGACAGAAAGAAACAGTTCAAACACTGGGGAACCACAGTGTGGATCACCCAAGATTTAGTGGCTTCCACATACACAGAACAGAGGATTCGCAATATGATATTCTGGAAGGCCAAGGAACTAGGATTATAACCAAGAGTCACCTGCCCAGCAAAACTGAGTAGAATTCTTCAGAAGGAAAAATAGATATTTAATGAAATAGAAGACTTTCAAACATTCCTGATGAAAACACTAGAGCTGAATAAAAAAATTTACATTCAAACAGAAGATTGAAGAAAAGCATAAAAAGGCAAACATTAAAGAATAATCATATGGGTCTCAATAAAGTTAAACTATTTACATTCCTACATGGGAAGATGATACATGTAACTCCTAAGAACTTTATCATTATTAGGTCAGTTAAAAGGAGTTTACATAGTCAGAGGGCATGGATATGAGTTAATTATGTTGGAATGATCCCCCCCCAAAAAAAAAAGAAGAGGTGAGAACAAGAGGGATGCACTGGGGAAAAGGGGAAGGAAGAGAAAGAATGGGGAAATTTTTCTCACATAAAAGAGGTGTTCAAGTAAGAGTTTTATAGCGGAAAGGAAAAGGAGTGGTGGTGGCAGAGAACATTTGAACCTTACTCTCATTGAAATTGCTCAAAGAGGGAATAACATACACACTCAGTTGAGTATAGAAATCCATTTTACCTTACAGGGAAGAGGCAGAGAGAGAGAGAGAGAGAGAGAGAGAGAGAGAGAGAGAGAGAGAGAGAGAGAGAGAGAAATAGGGGGAAATAAGACTAAGGAAATCTGTGAAAAAAATTTACAGCAAGTTTCTCTGATAAAGGCCACATTTCTGAAATATATAGAGAGAACTGATTCAAATTTATCTCCAATTGCTAAATGGTCGAAGGATATGAACAGGCAGCAGTTTTCAAAGGAAGAAATCAAACTTATCTATAGTCATGTGAAAAAATGCTCTAAATTTCTATTGATTAGAGAAATGCAATTAAAACAACTCTGAGGTACTACTTCATGCCTATCAGCTTGGCTAATATGACAGAAAAGGAAAATAACAAATGTTGAAGGAGATGTGGAAAATTGAGA